GAGAGAGAGAGAGAGAGAGAGAGAGAGAGAGAGAGAGAGAGAGAAATTATAAACATATTAAAATAAATGCAACTGCAGCTGATGAGCATACTGTATTGATTCTTCCAGTGAGTTGGAAATGAATTTGATTCTAGAAACGAAAAGAAAAGATTAATGAGGCTGTTAGTCAGCTTTTGAATTAGAGCGCTTCTTGTTTTGGCTGCAGTAAGATTGTTTTTCAGTTCCTTTTATTTCAATCCTCTAATTTGTGAACTCATCAGGTCTTTCAGGCACCTAGAGAGAATCCTCTTTCTCCATATAAATACAGATGCTCTCTCACACACAATGAGCTTCCTCTAAGAACCGGGAGAGCCAGTTGACCTCCCTTGTGGTAGGAATATACATCTATTCCTCTAGCACAACCCCCCTTCTCCTCCATTCCTTAAAAAAAATTGTCAAGGTTTGTATTAGTGGAGGAGAGCAGGGAAAGGAAAAAGGTTATGTGTTTTACACCAAATCAATTAATAAAATAATCAGCTCCAACAGATTCTCTTTCTCTCTTACACACACACACACACACACACACACACACACACTACAGACACACAAACACACATACACACACAAATGGCTTTCTAATACAAGTTTGAGGATGGATTCAAAGTACTACTTTTGACTGTGACGTTCTAGGTTTATTTTGCAAATTACTGAAAATTTAGCAAATTCTTGACTCCGTTTTTTAAAAAAATGAAAGTATGTTGAATAATATGCTATTATTCATGATTTTTTAAGAGCACCTTTCTTTGGGCTTGGCTCAGGAGTAGAAAAGATGTGACTGGTAATTGCTGATGATGTGGAATGTATCAGCCATAATAAATCAACTACTGAGATTTTTACTTCTTTTTTTTGCTCATGAGCAGTGTGTGTGTGTGCGTGTGTGTCTGTTGAAAGAGAGAGAACCAGTCATCTATTTCATCTGGGGAGGAACTTGAAGTGGGATCCCCTAGCTTGGTGGCTCTCAGCTGACACCTGTAGGGACTGTTCTGAACTGAAGAGAAATGTTCTTAGCTCCCTCCATGGAGGAGCAGCAGCACAATGCGGTGCCATAAATTACTGCTAGTTTCAGCTTGTAGGGAAAAAAAAGTGTTAATTGGATAGTGAGCTTCTGTGTCCAAGCAATAAATTTGGTGTGTGTGTGTGTGTGTGTGTGTGTGTGTGTCTGTGTGTGTATGTGTATGTGTGTATATGTGTTCCAGTGGGGATGGGGGAAAGTGGAGAAATAGTGAGAAGTGGTGAAGAAAAAAATATGTTTTTTGTATGACCAGATGATATATTTGTGTTATTTTCAAAATATAGGAATAATTTATTTTGCACCAAAAAAAAGACAGAAAAAAATTAGTATGTGTGCTTTATGTACCATTTCAAGAAGCTGTTAGATTAGAGTTGAATAAAGAGAAGAGATTTAATAGCATATTGAGTGATTCAAAGCTATGGTCTTAAATTCTAACATCCTGGAGCCATAGTAACTGAGGTGACATACATGCCAACTGCTGTTCTGACCACACCAATCCTAGGGCTGACAGCCAGATAACGACTTGAGGAGGAGTTAGATCACTACACTATTAGGCAAAATATTAAATAACCATCTTTAGAGTAAAAATAATATAACACTTGACTCATAAATATTGCTAACAGTATATATCTGGCTCCAATTAGATATTTTCTCCTAAAACAGATAATTTCTTTAATAAAAAGAAAGAATATGTTTGTTTGAAATCTTAAAAGAGACTCCCAAGAAATCATCAATATTCCTACTCTGAGAGAAATAAAATGGTAAGAATGCTATACAAATCTAAGTTGGCAGCTTCCTGCCAACAATTTGATCTACCTTGTCTATAGTAAAATTTGCTATTTAATGCAATCTGAATAGGTTGTTGTAATTGTCCAGGTAACTAGCACAGAGTAAAAGAAGAAATCCTTTAAAAGGCCTTTTTTCACTTCTAATACATTGTAAGAATTACATTTTCTTTAAAAATAAAAAGATAACCATAATCACCTCTTTTTAAAACATGAGTTAGCTAATAAAACTTATAATAAACCACAAAGATATAATTGTTGTAAGACTGTGATATTAGCTATTGGGAAACACCAGGCCTTACTTGTAGGTCAGGACAAAAAAAAAAACCCAAAAAACAAAAAACAAAAAAAAAACCCTTTATCCAATAAGGTTAATTATTTAGCTTATATACTTGCTTTCTGAGTTGAATGATTATTTGCATGATACTGTAATTGACCTTAGATCTTAATTTTAATTTTCTACAGATTTCTGGGTCCTTATAAAAGGACCATATAAGACCAAAATGCATCGCCATCACACAACCAATTGATATGCTGGCATCTTAGCTTGGCCTTGCTGAGGCGGAGGAAAAAGAAGAGGAGCTGTTGTAATTTCCACATCTAACAGCTTCTGGCTGTTTCACAACTTGTGGGTTTGAGGCCTGTTCTTGGGGAGGTTTAAAAGAGAATTGCAATCCAGCCTGGCAGGCCATGCACAAGGAATTTGGCTTAGGCTGCAGTGGTGCTGGAAGTCCTGATATGACAGAAGAAGCAGGTCTTTGAAGCTACTTTGGGGTTAATAAGTGGTGCCCTCAAGAGGCAAAGAATCCCCCTCTCCGTTCTGGTTTGGGACACTACATCTGGAAGGGAAACACTGAGGCAGACACAAGCATCCAAGGATATTGGTTCATTGCCTGCTTCTTGCGATTCCTTGAGAAAGGTGGGTGCTTCTCATTGACTGTAACTGCTTCCCTTTTGTCTGGGTACCACACTGGAGGTACCTGACATTTGGAGGAGTGAAGTATCTGTCAACACCATAGATGCCCTTAAACTAGATCACCTGCTGCAAATGGATCAGTGATTTTCCTTGATCTTCTGTTGACGCTTTTTTCAGAACGTTGCCTCCAAAGTGTATCCTCCCTTTGGTCTGGAAGTTCTGTTGCTGCCCTGTACCTCTGGGGTCTACGTTTTCCAGTCGGAAGGGGACTATAAGGAGAAAGGTAAGGGTTGTTGGAAGAGGAGAAGAAGAAAAAAAAGAGCTAGTGGAGGGCGCAACGCTCCCACTCGGGCCTATACCCTTGCCCTACTTGCCCTTGGGACCCTTATTTCTTCATCACGGTGTCCAGGACCATTTTGACCCTGTCGGCCCCGGCACCCCCCCGCCGCACCCCAGCCCCGAGCATGGGGACGGCGCTTCTCCAGCGCGGGGGTTGCTTTCTGCT